AAAAGAAATATTTGAAGAAAAATTAATTTATATGTATAATTATCTATATATAAGTATTTATAAAGAAAATATTCTAAGGTATGAGAGTATATAAAGAGAATATTTTAAGATATAAAATATTTATAATAAAGGTGAATATAATCTGAATTATTGTGTTCATATCTTAATATCTAAGTATGAATATGATTTAAATTATTGTGTTCATATCTTAATATCTAAGTATGAATATGATTTGAATTATTGTGTTCACATTTTAATATCTAAGTATGAATATGATTTGAATTATTGTGTTTACATTTTAATATCCCCTCAAACTCAAGTCAACTTGAGTTCGGAAACAAGAATATGAGAATGTCTAGGAAAATGAGTCTTGTGTTCATATCTTAATATCTAAGTATGAATATGATTTAAATTATTGTGTTCACATCTTAATATCTAAGTATGAATATGATTTGAATTATTGTGTTCACATTTTAATATCCCTTCAAACTCAAGTCAACTTGAGTTCGGAAACAAGAATATGAGAATGTCTAGGAAAATGAGTCTTGGTGAAAAGATTTGCTGATTGATTAGCAAAGCCAATGAAAATCAAATGAACAATTCTTTATGCAACAGGATGGCGAACAAAGTGATAGTCAACTTCAGTGTGTTTAGTGCATTCATAGAAGACATCATTATGAGTAATCTGCATGACACTTTGATTGTCACAATAGAAATTAGTAGTAGGAAGTTAAGGACTCATAACTTCTAGTAGCCAACGTAATTTAAGTGACTTTGATGTGGTGTCTCTAAGTGCTCGCTATTCGGTCTCTGTGCTAAAACATGATGGAACTGTCTACTTCATGTTACACTAAGAGATTAAGGAATCACTAAGAAGAAGACAATATCCAGTGGTGGATTTAAGATCATTAAAGTCTCCAGCCTAATTATCATCAAAGTAAGCACGAAGTTCAAGAGATGAATGACCAAAATGATACCTTTAATCTAGTGAATAATGCAAAATACTATTACATAGTGAGTGGAGCGAGGTGTAGCCATAAATTGGCTAACAACATGAACTACATAAGCTATATTTGGTCGTGTTGTAATGAGATAAATTAAACTTTCGACCAACTATCTATAGTGAGTACAATCAACTAATAGAGAACCATCCATGGGTGTAAGTTGAAGATTTGGCTCAAGAGGAGTAGATGCAATCTTACTGTCAGTGAGTCTAGCTTTAGATATAGGATCAAAAGCATATTTGGTTTGGGAGAAAAGATAACATCATCAGAAGAGGTGACCTTAAGTCCCAAGAAATAGCTCAAAACACCAAAATCTTTCATCTCGAACTTACGATTGAGAAATTACTTAAGATCATCAATACTTGAAATATCATCCCCAATAATGATCATATCATCAACATAAAGAAGGAGTAGAACCATGTCATAATTAGTCTTGCGTATGAACAGCGTAGTGTCATGAAGACTAGAAGTAAAACCAAATTCACCTATGGTGGTACTAAACTTGGCAAACCAGGCTTGAGGAGCTTGCTTCAAACCATACAAAGCTCGCTTCAATCAACAGACTTTGTTTAGAGGATGCTCAAGTCTAGGAGGTGGTTTCATGTGAACTTTCTCTACAAGATCACCATTTAGAAATGCATTTTTCACATCCGTATGAAATAGTTTTCATCCTTTTGCAACAACAATAGCAATCAAACTAAGTAAAATGAGCAACAAATGCAAAGGTTTCCTCATAATCAATCCCATATTCTTGAGTAAATCCTTTAGTAACCAAATGAGCCTTGTAATGCTCCATAGAATCATTAGATCGAGTTTTGATCTTGTACACCCATTTACAACCTACTAAAGGCTTTGTAGTAGGAAAATCAACTCAATCTCATGTATAAGTTTTCTCAAGAGCTTGTAATTCATCTTTCATAACTTACTACCAAAAAGGCTTAAAAAAGGCCTCTTGATAGGATTGAGGCTTAAATAAGTAGGCAATACCAAGAAAACAATGATAATCACAAAGATAGCTAAGAAGATTTCTTACCTAAGTAAGACGGCTCGAAGGTGGATTAAAGATCTCATTTTCAAGCTCAATATCAACAGGGTTAGATCTAATAGGTGATATAGAAGAGGTAAGGGAAAAGACTCAGCATTGGCTAGTGCATTACCAGCAACTAGAGCATCTTTTATAGAACCAAGTGAAGCATGTGAAAAGACATCATGGAGCTTATCAAATGTATCTGCATCAGAGCCACTAGGAAATAGCTCAATAGAAGGGTTAGTAAAAAGTGGAGGTTGATCAAAAGATGACACTTGAAAGTTTGATAATGAGGAAAGCATAGTGTGTTCCCAAAAGACAACATGACATAAGACTCAAAGTTTTTTTGATACAGGATCTCAACAACAATATCTTTTATGTGTAATCCCATAACCCAAAAAACAACATAATCGAGCTTTAGACTCTAGCTTGTTATGTTCATGAGGTGGAAGAATAACACAACAAGCACAACCAAAAACCTTAAAAAGATCATAAGTAGGAGGAATACTATGCAAACATTTATATCGAGACTAATTATTGATGGTTGATGATGGAATCCAATTAATGAGATAAACAGTTGTAAAAGCAACTTCACCCCAAAATCGCTCTGAACAAGAAGACGAAATGAGCAGAGCACGAACAGAATCAAGGATGTGTCCGTGTTTATGTTCGGCTTGCCCATTCTATTCAAAAGTGTAAAGACAAGATTGTTGTGTTAGTGTGTCCTATTCTTTAAGAAAGGATTGAAGTTTAGTACTAAGATATTTAATGGCATTGTCAGTTTTCAAAACTTTGATAATTTTAAAGAACTGAGTTTTGACTACAGTAGCAAAATCAATATAAATTTATGGTAACTTAGAGTGATTTTTCATAAAATATATCTAGGTAAAACAAGTATAATCGTCAAAAAATAACAAAAAGTACCTAGAACTCTCCATGGTAGGTGTCAAAGATGGACCCCAAACATTAGAATGCATGAGATCAAAAGAAGAAACTACTAAAATAAGATAAAGTTGGTTGTTTTGCATATTGACATGACACACAATGCAAGAATTCATTTGGAACATATCCTAAAAACCATGAGAGATAAAAGGATAAAATTTACCAACTGAGGTGTGTCCGAGTCATAAGTGCCACAAATGAAGAGGAGAGATGTTAGTAGCAGCGTAGACTTGGAAGATTTGTTGATATAGAATTTGTAAAGATTCTAATTCAACAGCACAAAGCAAGGTTTGGATGAATCGATCATTTGGAAATGATGATGCATCCATTTTATGATCAGGAATATGCAAATAGTTGAGCTTAAACATATGCCCCACCTTGCAAATAGTTCCAAGAAATTGTCATGTTTATGGGTCCTACACGCGACAACCATGAGCAGAAAATGTTACTTCAAGACCAAGATCACATAATTAACCAACAGATAAAAGATTATAACTAAGTTTTGGAATGCCATAAAATCAGTAGAACTCAGACTACTGAAAAAAAAAATCTCTAAAATTATGAAGAAATAGATGCCAAAATCGAAATAACAACTCAACAAAATACCTTAGAAAATGTCTGAGAATTAAGAATGAACAATTCAATCTACAGGAGAAGAGAATCCAATGACAAGTTTTTGGATCTAGAATGGATTTGAAAATCCAACTCATAAACCAAGCAGTGATTATAAAAGAGAAGAACTAGGAGCTTATAGCTATGATACCATGTTGGAAATAGGAAAAAAAAGAAGAAATATTTGAAGAAAGATTTATTACTTTCTTAAATAATACTATATATATAACGATCTATATATAAGCGTTTACAAAGAGAATATTTTAAGATATAAAATATTTACAATGAATGTGCATTTGATCTAAATTATTGTGTTTACATCTTAACAAAATTCATCATGCAACTA